TTATTCCAGTTCATTTTCATTTTAACTACCTCCATCTCTTACTTTGACAAAGATTTGGAGACAACTTCAAGTCTGAATCAGAATCCCATTTCTCAAGTGAACAAAAGTTTGGACTAAAATAACTAGCATAAAAAGGGAATATCTTAGCGAAAACAGCTTGCTCTTATGTTAGAATCTTCAGAAAAGGGTTATTTCAGTAGGAAGTGTGTAATTTAGACTTGAAACACAACTTTCATAGAAATGTAAGAAAGAATTGACAACAAGAATAGAAACCAGGCCATAGATAAATAATAGACAGAGAAAACTGTCCTTGCTCCAAAGCCTAAAGATAAGAACTGCTTGTTTTCAGTTTTTCCTTCCCCCAGGTCTAACACTCATTTTAACAGGTTTGTAGATAATAAGGAGGGTGACTTAGGGGACCAGAAATGGGTTTTTATTGTTCTTTCTGAAGACATCTGGTCTGAAATCCACCTTCCTATATAGTACCTCTCTATTCTGTTTCTCTAAAGAAAAAAAAAACCTTCTTTTGACTGTTTAGACAAGATGATTTGTTTGTGGTGAAGATATGAGACCACCATCATCTAACCTGATTGGAAGCTCTTCCTTGATGCCCCGCACTGTAGCAGTGTAGCACTGGCCTCCCGTTGTTCATCAATTTGCTCAAGCAGGTACCAGTAATGTCTCCATTGTGAGACTTGTTGTTACTGTTTTTGCATATCGAATATGCCACGAGTAGCTTGCCAGGTTCTGCCGTGCAGGCGGGATACTCTTGGTAGCTTGCCGGGCTCTTCGAGAGGGATGGAGGAATTGAACCCAGGTCGGCCATATTCAAGGCAAATGCCCTACCCGCTGTGCTATCGCTCCAGGCCTGCTATCGCTCCAGCCCCAAAACAATTTTAAATGTTTTTTCTGATATAGTTTACTTAAAAAATCAAACCATCAGTTTATTTTTTGCTGTTTCAAATTGTAGCATGCATATTAAAATTATCCTTGGGATTGGAGAGATAGCTCGATGGGCACATAACAAGCATGCTTTGCATGCAGAAGGAATGAATTTGATCTGCAGCATTACATACATGGCTCCCTGAGCACCATCACGAGTGATGGTGATGGGACCATAAGGTGAACACCAACCCCACAAACCAATAAATAAAATTAAAAATCATATTGGAATTTTAAACACAGGAGCTTTCAGTTATTAAAACTCACTACTTTTCCCTAATAAAAGCTAAAAACAACTAAAAAATTAATAACTCATTTTAGATTATGAAAGAAATGAGGTCACAGATTTTAATGCCTCAAGTCTAGATCTTTGAGCACTTATGCATAATGATCACAGATACCAAATAGACACTCAGAGGGCCATCTATTAGAAACATGCACACATGTTATCAGAAGGGCTATGTAAACAAATGTTTTCTAAGGTATAGCAAACACGTGCAGAGTGGGAGAAACAGAGTGCTGGGAAAGAGCAGGAGGGCAAAATGTGCATAAAACATTGTGATAAGAACTCTAGGTATGTTTCTGTCTCTCGCACTGGGAAATTACTTTCCAGGCATATTATATTATCTAACTCACAGGACATTGTTTTCTATTTATTTTTTTCCTTCATGTAACCTTTTTCTTTTCCTTCTTTTCGCTTCTCCCCGCCTTCATATAGACTGAACTTTGTCATACCTTCCCAAAACAGAAATGGATTTTTAAAGTTCTTTATGAAGACATCTGGTCTGAAATCCACCTTCCTATATAGTACCTCTCTATTCTAAACAGAACTAGAAGAATGGCCACCTCCCATCATCTAAAAAAGTCGCACCTCGGTAGGAAGAAAAGTAACCTAGAGTTCAGCTGAGGAAACCACTACTGAGCCTTAAGTGGTGAGTTCTTCCAATTTCAGAATGATGTCTTCAATTTGTATCATCATTTTAGTGGAAAAATATAATTTTAATTTTGGTGAAATGAGATTCATCTCCTGAAGGGATTAGTAACATCATTTGCTGAATTTCATGGTTTTTATGAAGAACATGAAAGGCAGCTATAAGATCAATGGGATTCCAGCTCCAACTGTAGTTGGACTGACACTATACCAGGACAAAAACACCTAGATTTTGATTTACAAAGCTAATATCAGTTTTAAAACTAGAACTTAATTACAGACCAACTACACCACCTTTATAAATTGGCAAAAATAGAAACACGTTATAAAAATAAAAAGTAGAAATAATGCCTTTCCCCTTAAACGTGTTTTAAATAAAAACTGAGAGTGATTAATACACTTAAAAATTATTTGCAAATGATATTATGTAACAAATGACTTAACCTATGTGAAAAGTGGGGCAATTTAAATTGTAGTGAGTCAGAACAATGCATTTTTGTTCCTTTAAAAATCTCATTCCTGGAGGTATAGTGCTGCCAGCAGGCCTATCTGTACCTGTGAGGTGAGTGCATCAGGGCCTGATGGCGCTTTCAGACTTCCATATACCCCCAAATTGCTGCTGTGCCTTTGGCCAGACCCCAAAAACTTGGGGCAAACTTTACCCAGAAAGTAAATGGCCAAAAGTAAGGTATGTGGGAGACACACCCACAAACCACCTCCAGCTCAGCTATATAATTGGAGGCAAGGCCTCTCTGGTTCCTGATTGAACTACTTAACGACCATGATCCCTGAGACTCAGAAACAAATCTTGAAATACAGCAGCTTTTGGCAGAAATGTGTGTGGACCACGCAGTAGGTTGCTGTCGCAGGGCCACCTCAGGAGGGAAAGGGTGCTATCCCTCCGCCTGCTCCCCCTTGGCGGCTCTGTGGCTGTCATCCACCAGAGGTCATTGGACAGTCATGTTTGGGCCCACAGTGATGAGACACACGGGGTCTCACAGGATGGCAGTGGAACCGGCCCTTTCCTCCCCATCCCAATGAGACCCCGAGTCGCCACCCACAATCGTCCGCTCTGGCTCCTGATCAAGTTGCTTAACAGCCATGATCCCAGAGACTGAGAAACAAATCTTGAAACCCAGCGGCTTTTGGCAGAAATGCATCTGGACCCCTCAGTAGGTTACTGTCACTGAGTCACCCCAGGGGGAAAAGTGTGCTGTCCCTCCGCCTGCTCCCCCTTGGCGGCCTGGTGGCTGCCATCTTCCAAGAGGCTATTGGACAGTCAGGTTTGGGCCCACAGTGACAAGATACACAGCGCCTCAAGGGAAGGAGGTGGAGCCAACTCTTTCCTACCCATCCCAATGAGACCTCGAGTCGCTGCCCAAAATGGCCTCTCTGGCTCCTGATCAAGCTACTTAATGACCATGATCCCAGAGACTCAAATCTCGAAACCCAATGGCTTTTGGCAGAAATGCATCTGGTCCCTGCAGTAGGTTACCTGCACTGGGCCACCCCAGGTGAGTATGGGTTTCATGCTTTGGCCTGTTTTCCCTGGCATCTGGTGGCCACCATCCTTCAGAGGCCATTGGACAGTCAGGCTTGGGCCCGCAGTGATGAGACACACGGGGCCTCAAGGGATCAGGGTGTTTCCGGCCTTTCTTCCCCATCCCAACAAGACCATGAGTTATCGCCCACAAATGGCCTCTCTGGCTCCTGATCAAGCTGCTTAATGGCCATGATCCCAGAGACTCAGGAAGAAATCTCAGAACTTCGCGGGTTTTGGCAAGAAATCCCTCTAGATTTAACTGTTGAAATTTCGGAACTTCAAAATCACGCAGCCACTACTGCAGCCATGCAGCATCATGTTATTCATAACCAGTAATAGAAAACAAGTTGTCTACTGTTGCCTTTTTGGCAGATCTAAGTGTTGGGGTAAAATACCAAATAATAATGGTGGCTGTGGTGTCGAAATGTTGAGTGTAGTCAAAGTATAGAGAGAGTAATTTGAAAATCATCTGCCCCACAGGTAGGGAGAGGGTGTGGGATGGGGGTATACTGGGGATTTTGGTGATGGATAGTGGAAAATGGTGAAGGTACGGGTGTTTCATTGTATGACTAAAACTTAAATCTAAAAGCTTTGTAACTGCTCACAGTGATTCAATAAATAAAATTATAAAAAATGGGGAAAAAAAGGTGGAGTTCATTCACAATTCATCAGCCTAATCAGTGGCTGAACAGCAGTACTCCTACATAAAAAAATTAAGTAAAAATCTCATTCCTTACAAAAAATATTTAGTTTTTAATGAACTTGTAAAGAATAAACCTCCCATTTCAAAATAGAAACCAAATCCCAGGTCATATAGATGTTTATAGTGATTACATTGATCTAAGCAATATACACACATGTTCAGTTCTAAGATGTTTACTAAATCTGTATGACACTTACGCTTTTTTAATACCAGAACATTATAAAGCTAATGCAGAGTCACAAGGATAATCTAGTAGTCGCTAAGTTTTTCTTAAGTCATCATCTTAGATGCTGTTATTTTCTAGCACAAGTAAGCAGGCTGAGTCTTTCTTATGCTGAAAATAATGGAATATTTGGTTGCTAATTTATCAGCTGGCTTTCAAACGAGAAACCAACTACTTAACAAATATCCTAAATGAACAACTTGCAATACTCAGGGATAGATAAACCCTAAGAATAAAAACTGTGACCATTTACAACCATCACAACCGTGGCTGTAGGCTGTTTACTCCATTCTTCTGAAATGAGATCTCAAAGCAGTGTAGTTCAAAATAAAAGGTTTTAACAAAAATTGGCATATGCACAAAATTTCTCCAATTTACGTGTCAACCATTTAGTTAAGTTCGAAAAAAAATGTAACAGAAAACTGGACACCATATTTACTATCCCAGTTAATATTCACAATTACAGCTTTTACAATTTAGGATACAGCACCAGCAATGTTGCTCAGAGCCAGTTTATACTGAAATTAAGTTGTTTACACCAAGTAAATAAATGGTTGTCCACAACCACTGGCTAGTGTACACAGGAACTAAAACGTCTAGATTTAGGAAGAAACAAATGCTGCTCCAATCATCTGCTTTGCTTCTTCGGTTCCTCAATTCATGCTTTGTTACTCTTATTTTTGTCAGTTTGCTTGCCTGTGTGGGGTTGGGCCTGATGACCCGGCCCACTTGAAGAGGCTGCCTGTTGTGCTGCTTTCTGCTTTAACATTGTCCAGTCAAACGTGTAGTCATATTGGTGGTTCAGGGTCCTGAAAAGAATGCGAAATAGCTGCCTCAAATACGTGTAATCTGGGGCCTCTTCAAAGCGCAGCCCACGACAATAGTTTAAGTACATGGCAAATTCTGCGGGAAATCCCTTACATAAAACTTCAACAGGAGTAGACATCTTCTTTTCACTAATCTTTTCATATTTTTGTTTCTTTGTTGCAGCCTTTAGTCCTTGCCACGGCAAATTGGTTCTGTTGAAATACATCAAAACGTAACCTAACGATTCCATGTCATCTCGGCGACTCTGTTCAATACCCAGATGTGCATTGATGCTAGCATAACGGGCCGTGCCGGTCAGATTTTTATCTTCTCGGTACGGTATGTGTTGCCTTGTCCTGTTGTCTCTGTACTTTTTGGCCAAGCCAAAATCAATCAGGAATAACTTATTACAGTGATGCCCGATACCCATCAGGAAGTTATCTGGCTTAATGTCTCTGTGTATAAAATTCTTCGTGTGCACATATTCGATTCTACTGATCATCTGGTCGGCTAACATAAGGACCGTTTTCATGGTGAACCTTCTGGAACAGAAGTTGAACAGATCTTCGAGGCTGGGTCCGAGGAGGTCCATGACGAGGATGTTGTAGTCCTTCTCCTGCCCATACCACCGGATGTGGGGGATGCCCACGCCGCCCTGGAGGATCTTGTAGAGCTTGCTCTCGTACAGCAGCTGGGGGTGCCGCGCCTTCTGCGATTCCAGCTTCACCGCCACCTCCTCGCCGCTGGTGACGTTCACTGCCAGGTAAATATCCCCGAAGGAGCCGGACCCGATCTTCCGGACCAGCTTGTATTTCCCGCCGACCACGAAGTCGGCTTTGGAGTCGCTTATGTTCGCCATCCCGAGCGCGGAGGAGGGCTGAGGCCGTGGCCGGCCCCGAGTCCTGGAAGGCCCCGAGGGCCGGGCGGCGGCGATGCAGGGTGGCAGGGGGCGCCTGGGGACAGACGCCCTCAGCCCCCTCACGGTGTGGGCGCCCCCGAGTCCCGGGCCCGGCTGAGGAGAGCGGGTCACGGCTCAGTCAGGTGGCTTCGGGCGGGCGCAGCCACCACCGCGCGAGGGCCCCAGGCCGGGCCGTGGGGTTCGGGGCGGCAGCCGCTGCCTGGCTTTGGCGGCGGTGTTGTGGCTGGAAGGGGGTGCGGGGAGTTAGGGCGATGCCGCTCCCGCCCGGAGGGGCCCGTCACTCCCCCGGCGTCGCCATCTTGTTGCTCCGGCTCCGCCAACACCAAACGCCCGGTCCTGGCGCCGCTTCTCCCCGGCGCAGGGCACGCTGGGAGGCGCGGGGCACGCCGGGAGCGCGGGGCGTGGGCTGCGGGCGGCCTCACCCCGCTGGCCCCCTCGAGGGGCGGCCTATGAGCCCGGGCTGGGGGCCGCGGGACGTCCTCTGCTTCCCAGGACGGAATTCCCAGCGGAGTCCTCGCGAGAGGCTGCGGGAGGGACCCTGAACTGGCGACCGGAAGTGCCGGCAGACAGGCCTGAGCCTGCACTCAGAATGGCCTCGCCTCAAGCGTCCCCTCGGAGCTTCTGGAGGAAACGCCCTTAGAGGGCGCGGGAGGCGGGGTTTTCTCTGAGTTCTGCCCAGGGAGACGCTAGTGGGCTGAGCCGAACCTGTCCGGTCTCCTACACAGACCCACCAACCCTGGGCAGGGGGATGCCCGATCCGCCGGCCTTGGTCTTCCGCGTGGGGGAGAGACACCCCATCACTCGCCTCCTCCTGACGTAACAGTGGGAGAGGGTGGAAAGGCATGCCCGAGTTCACGGCCCAAGGCCAGGCGAACCCCCCTGACGGAGACCTGCTCAGGGGACTGGAATTGATTTCCTTCCTCACACGCGTCTTACGGCCACATTAACAACGAGTTATTTAGAGTAGTTTCTTAACAGACTTTTAACGTATTCGAAAAAGTTAAAAAGTATTTAAAAAGATAAACTGCACAACATCTGTTATCAGATCACAATAGAATACAGAATAAACTTGAACACTCCTCCCCCAATCCCTCTCCCCCCCCCCAAAAAAAAACCCTGGAGATTAAACAACAGTTGGCTGTTCTGTGAATTTTGAAATGACTGTGTAACACTATAGACTGTCTTCCCTTTGTTCATCAGTTTGCTCAAGCAGGCACCAGTAAGTCTCTATTGTGAGACTTGTCACTGTTTTTGGCATATCAAATACACCATGGGGAGCTTGCCAGGCTTTGCCATGCGGGCAAAGGCTCTCCTACAGGGGCGGAAGAGTCAGAACCAGTACAGTCCCTTGCAAGGCAAATGCCTTACCCACTATGCTATCACCCAGCCCTTTGAAAAAAAAATTCAAAAAAAAAATGTGTTTGGGACTGGAGCAGTAGCACAGCAGGTAGGGCGTTTCACTTGCACACAACCCGAAGTTCAATTTCCAGCACCCCATATGCCCCCCCCAACCTGGAGTGATTCTTGAGTGCATGAGCCAGGTGTAACCCCTGTGCATCACTGGATGTGACCCCCTCCCCAAATAACAGAAAAAAAGTGTTTGGTTAGGGGCCACACCTGGCTGTGCTCAGGGCTTATTCCTGGATCTCTGCTCAGGGATCTCTCCTGGTGGGACTGGGGGAGGGGGTATGGGGTGTTGAAGATCAACTGGATCATATGCTTTACAATCTATAAGGCCAAAAAAATCTGAGATCAATGATCAAAGCTACTGCATTAGTAAAGTAGAAAAATAGGAACTAAATAATACAAAATAACAAAAAAAAAACAGATGAGTTAAAAGAAATTGCAAAAAAAAATATGAGGAAAGAGAAAGATTTTAGGTCAGTGAAGTAAAAATCCATCCCTTTGGAATATGCCTCAGTGGTTGAAGATCTAAAAAGTATGTGTGGGATCATGAATCTGATATCCCATTATCACTCTGCACCCTTTGGAACGATCAGCAATGAAATCGACTATATGTGCACAACAGAGTGAGTCCTCTCATGTATTACAACAATGACAAAAGCAACATCAAAGTGAAGGGAAATGAAAAGAAAAATGAGAAAAAAATATATTCAGACTAAAAAAATAAATTACTAATGTCAAATGAAAGAAATTACATCATCACAAATTTCATGTGCACTACAAATTAATGAAATGATGTAACTGTGAGCTCACAAATGTGTTAACCTAGATTAATAGATGTAGACACAGCCTGTCAAAACACAATAGAAATTAACTTTTTAAAGAAATTTAATAACTTTCCAAAACCAAAAAAGTAAGACCTAAATGAATAATCTAGTGAATTGTTTCAACTATTTAAGGAAAAGATTACACTAATTTATACAAAATCTTTCAGAATACACAAGCCTAGAGGAAATATCCTCCTAATTCTTTCTATGAGGTCAACACTTTACAATGCTAAGACCAGATGAAAATATTGTAAGACATAAAATTATAAGCTGATATCACTTATGAACATATGTGAAAGTTCTCACAAAATATTAGAAAATCAAATGAAACATTATATAGTACTGTAGCACTGTCCTCCCATTGTTCATTGATTTGCTCGAGTGGGCACCAGTAATGTCTCCATTATGACACTTGTTGTTACTGTTTTTGGCGTATCGAATACATCACAGGTAGCTTGCCAGGCTTTGCCGTGAAACATTATATAAGGAAATGATATATTAAAACCACATGTAATTTATCCCATACAGGAGATAATACAGCATTCAAAGGTCAATCAATGTAATCCATCACATCAATAGGGTAAAGGGAAATCGTGTGGTCAAATCAATAGATGCAGAAAAATTAGACCAATTCAAACACCATTATGGAAAAAAATGTTTTTTAAGTAAATTAGAATGAAAGCTTTGATGTATTTCTTTAGATATGGGTACAATTTAAATCTTTAATACTATTTAAGTAGTATGCTTGCATAGAAAGTTGTATATTTAGGGAGTGTGTTCCACAAAAACTTCTTCAGCAAAGTAAACATTTAAACAATGATAAATAGATAAATAACACCTTGCTAGAATTTAACTTAGATTTATTGAGGTATAATTCATATATAGTAATATATATTATGGTTCTTGTGTAAATTTTGAAATTCATCGTTATATAAACAACACCATAATCAAGAAGAAATCAGTTCTGTCAGTCTTCAGATTTCCCTTTTGAGCTATTCTAGTCTATCTCCTCCCCCCCACACACACATACCTCTTTTTGCTGGAGGTGTTTTCTACACTTAAAATATTTTGTTTCCCAGAATGCAATGGAAAATGTAGTAATACAGTATAGTGTCCTTTGACCTAAATTTATTATCTTATTATTGTGTATCTAAGATCCATTAACATTATTGCAAATTTTGTTCATGGGATGATCCCCATAACTGGTAGACTCTTGGAAAATCTGGTATATTTCTCCAACGGGAACAAAGCCACTTTCATGGGTGAAACCAAGACCCAACCAAGATGGCAGTACAGTGGTTTCTCAGAATGATGCCTCTGCAGCAAGTTTTTATAAATTCCTGTCTCAGAGGCAGGTCCAGGTTATATCATGGGGTCTCAGTTTGTCACCTTGTTCTTACAGAGTGATCTTTAGGTTTCAAAATCTTTGTGTTTTTCCAGGAGTAAGTAACTCAATCCAGCCATGTAACAGCAGGAGCTAAGCCGAACCCAATCAGGACATGCACAGATACTTCATAAATAGCATGAGTTCATTAAAAATAATAAAAGTTGTAACAACATTAGCAATATCAGCAGTGTTTATTTTGTTGCAGGTGACTTATATGTAGTGGGGAGAAAAGGAATGGCAGACTGGAAAGAGAAGGAGTCTACCTCTTACCTTTCTTTCTATCTCGATCACCTGGGAAAGTGCCTGGAAAAGTTCTGAAATGATCAAAGTTGACCTTGAGAACCTTCACAGCGCAGACCTTAAGTCTCACTAGGTCCATAAGGCAGTTGCCAAACAGTAGTTGGGTCCCACTTGATATACCACAAAAGGGAAAATGTTTTCTGCTGCCCAATTTCTCCAGGACTCATGAAACAAAGACTGGAGTGAGGAATTGCTCTCTGCAGAAAAGGAAGAACAATATTTATTTCTACCTAGATTTTCCAGGAACATTGCTTTCCCTCATAAGAAAAGAATTTCAGGTAGTCCCATAGTAGATTAAATCAGTTTACTTTGAGATTATGATTAAGGAAGGAGAATGAGTAACATATTCAAGAGAGAATGCAAGCTTTTCCAGGGGGGGAGAGACTCAGAGTACACATCTCAGGCTAAGGGATGGGCGACTCCAGTCCAGAATGGGGAACGTTGCCACTTGCCTTTGCAGAATTGGTTTTATATATCTCCCAAGTCACTCCAGGTGAGGCCTTCTATATAGATAAGAGTCTGTTGCTAAGATATTGTCAAAGAGAAGGGCTTTAAACTTTTGGTGGTTTTCTTTTGTGCTATCAATTTATTTGTTTGTTTGTTTTCTGCTAAAGTTTCCCCCCTAGGGCAGAGGTTCAGACTTCTCTGGGGCCAGCATAAGGCACTAGTTGAAATCTTATTGACCTCAGTTCCTGAGTCCACAAAAAGGGTTAGGCCATAATGTATTTGACTAGTTTAGAGCTAATGACACAGTGACCTCTTTAGATCTTGTCTTTACTACTTTCTGAGAACTCATTTCTTGCCCCCACCCCACTTCTGTATGCCTACTTCAACTTTTTGAGTAAATATCCATAAGCTTAGGAATTTGCAAGTTATTATATAGACTTGGGAGTCAAGCTTTTCGTTTCCTAGATGGCCTTAGGTTCAATTTCATTTCATTGCCATGGTTTTCGAGAATTGTCTCAATAAGTTTTGACTTTCCAAAGTTGAAATTTATCAGTAAGGTTATGTATGTGTACAAT